AAGAGAACGTGATCGGGATCGTGAAAGGTCTCGTGACTGGAATGGCAGGGGTCGAGATGGGGGAAGGGATTGGAGATCCAGAAATGGAAGAGATGGAGGTAGAGATAGGTACCGTCATCGCAGTAGGTCACGTTCTCCTAGTAGGCATGGTAACAGGAGGTCTTCTAGAAGTCCAGCTCACCAATATTAGTGGATTGTGTAGATAGATGACTGAGCTTTGAAATTAATGAGGTAGACATTTTTATATCTCATAGCTTTATGAACACGTGCTTTTGGAGTCTTGTGTTAATTATCATTCTGGGTGAAAATTTTTTTTGCTATTTCACAGCTTTGTTGAGACTATACAATCTCCTTTCATCAATATTTTAGAGGAGAGAAGGGTTGAGGTAGGTAAAATACATATTGTTGTAACTCCTTTTTGTGATCTAACTAGGAATTGGTTCGACTGCATTTTTTTTTCTCGAGTCCTTTCTGAAACATCATTATTCGAAGTCCCTCCTATTTTTAAGTTTCTCAAGTGTTTGAGAGTACAGAATTCAGAATCAAAATATTTGCTTGAGTGACACTGCTGCCAAGAGGATTGGTGATTTTTTCAGTTTTGAGGTAACATATCATACTCATTTTTGTCATCTCCATGTCATAGATTGACTTATTGCCTTTGATTGCTTATCCTTCCCCAATTGAATGTATTATATGTTGAATAAGGTATCTATAAGCATTAAGAATACAGGAAGTTGGGAGGTCAGGATTGCACTACTTTTTTCATTTCCATCTCCATATGAGAAGTGCATTTCCTCTTTACAGAGTCGGGTATTCTGAAGCTGAAATTCCACGTGTATATAACCACTTTGTCGTTGCAGAGTGAAATTCATGGCTTCTTGCCTCCCCAAATAACACTTATAGTTTCTTTAGCAGAAGCATTGGTACCACTTGCATGAAAATCACTTAAAGTGGTCCGGGATAACACTGGACTTGCAAAATACTGCTGCTGGGAGGGAGGTAACTGAAATCAATCATGTAGTAATTAGAATATGTTTATTTCAGTTTGCAGGGAAGGCAGGTGTTCTTGATGGGTATGTTGTTGCAGCTGGTTATGCATGACATGACATGCTAAAAGGAAGGGTTCGTGCAGGGAATAAACTTTTTAGTGAACTAAATGCTGCCCATGGAACACGAATTAGGTTGAAAGAACATGCAAATTGAGGGAGGTAAATTTCTAGAAGCTATGCGAGATTGGCAATTGAAAATAATCTGTTTGCCTTGTGGTTCTTTTAGGTACTCAAGTCAAAATATGAAGTTTTAGGTTAAGTGTACCAGATTTGATAGGCCAATTGTTTGACTAGCGATAATGATTAAGATGACTGAAAGTGATTATGCAAGAACTGCAGATGACCCTAGCTGAGTAGAATGAGAATGCTAATGTTTCGGAGGGTCTCATTGCCTTGAAGCAAAACAGCCCGGAGATTGTAAATCTATAACGAATCGGGTCTTAATTATTTCAAAACTAAAATTTTTTTTCTGTATAATAGCAAGTTTAAGTTAAAGTTATTTTTAATCAGATTTGAACGCCTGATCGTTCCTTAAAAAAACACAAAGAAGAAAAAAGAAACTCCTGGATACCTGATACTACATCCCAGGTGACCTTGATTTTTGCCGTAATGCATGTAAAGTTCCCTTCTCCCAAAACTATTCGGTCTCTTGTAAGAGGTTACTAACAAGATGTAGGGGAAAAGCTGAAATTACTGAATCTAATTCTAATCCCGGCGAATAAGCCTTGTTTTGGTGAAGTGGAAGGTTACTCGCGAGTAATAACAGTTTGGTAACTTTTTTATTTTCTTTTTAGAGAAAACAGTTTGGGTTTCTTTTTTGTTAAAAAATAGTACAGTTTGGTAATTTTTTGATTTTCCGTTCGTGCACGATGAGAAGATGATTGAGGAATAATGAGCTGACAGGCAAATAGATAAAAACTCCCATCCAATTAGTCAAATGAATAATTACTGAAATTTTGACAAATTACGGGAAAGTCGAATCATATGAGGAGTTTACACATGAATTTCAAATAGATCCGGATGCTTTTCAAAGTGGCTTATATTGCACCGGAATTGGGCACGTGGCTTTCAAAACATATCCGTCATCCAAGTAAAAAAATGAGCTAGGACGATGAATGTTTGCTGTCTATTGGGTAAATAAACAAAGGATGAAAGTATTTTCAACTCTCAACTGAGCGTCCTGTCATTTTTTGTCTCAGTTTCCTTTGTCTTTTCTAATACTGACTATAAAATTTGCAGCAGAATTAAGTCTAGATATTATAGAATGGACGGGGGGGGTTTCTGCAGTTCAAATGCTTAATACCAAATTGTTCCAGCAAATGCAGCAGAACAATTTTGTAACTAAATGTTCTACCAAATCGTTCCAGTGAAGCTCCTTTCTATCATGAGTTTAATTTTGTAACTAAATGTTAGAGTGGACTATAAACAGATAATGGATTTACTAATATATTTGAGTAATTTTCTTTGCTAAATTTAATTCAGGCGTAAATAAATCTAGATTAGAGGGATGGGATGAAGACTCAAAAAATTAGAAAAGAATATGTTTAAAAACTATTGATTTTTTTTAGAATGATTAATAAGTCAAACCATAATAGATAAGTGCCTAAAAAATTAATAAATCCAATTGCAGTTAAATCAACTTATAAAGGATGAACCCCTAATTTGTCCGTAAAATATATAAATAAACAATAAGAAAGAAATATAAAATTTCCTTTCCCCCTTTCATACATAGGCATGGGTAAGGAAGTACTTCCCAACTCTGAATTGTATACATCTTTCCTTTCTTCATTTCAATTTTTTTTTTTCTCTAAGTGCATAGAAAATTTGCGACAGAAATGATAGGCTTACTCTTATACAATGTATGAGGTCCCCTGCACTTCATGCTTAGTATTGCGTTTGTCAAAAACCTGAAGTAAACTCACAATGCTATGCCAGCAGACCTCCATTTTGTTATAAGATAAGAAAAATACTATTTAGTAGAAAGAAAAATTGTTAGTCTAAGCTCACACGCCGGATTTTACACACAAGGTTAGCCGTGGGAAGATCCAGCTGGTTGCCAGAATCTGCCTTTATTAAATCCTTCAACTGATCCCTTTGTGTTGAAAGGCAAGTTTGAAATGTGGCAAGGACAGGGGGAACTGGCATTGACAGAGCAGAAAGAACATTACTCAAGTACTCGATGTCAACTGAAAGCTGCTGAGCTCCATGATCTGTTATATACTGAATGCCTCGTAACTGCTCCATGTAAAGGGCAGTGGCACCCTCTGCAACCTTTATAACACAGGAAGAACAAACTTTCAAAACATTAGCCCATTATTGTTAGGTTATGCAACCAAAAGAGCTTGAAGAATATACAGAAATGACAGTTTTTCATGCACGGCCACTTTATTGGTTCAGAAAGATTATCAAGGAGTTCTACTACTCAGAAGGCTGTTTGTGTTCCCAAAGAAGGGAAAATTTGGTTGTGAGAATTTCATGAGCATACAGCGGTTGGGTGATAAACTTACTATTTGTCTAACCAAAAATAAGTGTGGAAGGAGGCTAGATTTGTGAACCTGTTCTCATGAATCAGGCGTAAGCTTTTTCTGTTTCACCATGTCTACAGGCTAGATTTTAAATCCACAGGACTTGTCAAATAATTCTTTTTTGTAGTTCTCCACAAATCATTTTGAAGTTAGGCACTCAAAACTCGGTGGTTGAGGTCTTAAGTTCTCAGTAGATGGATTCAGGATTCAAATTATAATACAGATTGGTTACCTTGAACATCCATTCAGTCGCAAAAAATTGGGCTTCATCACTGTTGATGTCACTGTTGCTAGAGATGCCCTCAGCAAGAGGTTCTAACTGCTGGGGCAAAGTGAGGAGATATTCACCAACACTAGTTACATAGGACTGAGGATATGCACTGAATGTTGGAAGAGGAAATGCACTTTGTTCCTCCACTGCGGACCAGATTGGCAAATGGGCCACATCACTTAGACGCTGTCGAACTTTAGATATGAGAACATCATAGACAAGTTCATTCACAGTGTCAGCAAAAGCAGCAACTCTCTGAGATGCCATTGGAAGCGCATGAAACCGAGGATCTTTAGACTGCATGACAAAGAATAACACCATGATTATTAATGTATCTCAAGGGACATCCTAGAATTTATTGGGGGCGGGGGGAATCAATATTGGAACACACTTCAGAAGATACAAGGACATTTTATTCATTTGTTTAGTTCTATGTACTCTGCTAAAGATGCTGTAGCATGCCTGCTAGCTTGTTATACTGCTTTTTTTTTTTCAAATGGCAACTAATATCACCTTTATCCATAAAGAGAAAGTAGAAAGAAAATTGTTATAACTACAGCGGTAACATATATAGGCTGAGTAATGTTTCAAGACAAGTAGAACCTGTGTTTGAACCAGCTTGTTATGTTAGCTTGAAAGCTAATGTTCCATATCATCTATAATTTTTTAGTAGTTTTCTTAGCATACTCTATTAGAAGTTGCTCCCATTCTCCAAGCAACTAACGTATTCAACTTTTATTCATCTGGGATTCTCATGGCTAGTTTCCCTAGTTATTCTTTCTACCTTGAAAGCAAAGTGAAATTTGCATGTCATTAGAAAAACACTTCATGCTCCTCCCGGAAGAAAAGGAAAAAAATTTGATCAGCAAAGTTAGAGAATGTTGCAAAGATGTTAATTTCATATACCTGATCCAATAAGCTAAAGAGTTTCCGAGCCTTCTCTGGAACATCAAGAAGCCGGACAGCAGCGACATCCAAGGCAGCCCTTCCACCAACAGACTGTTCGTTGTTTCCATCTTCACTGGTTATATGTAACTGGTTTGGATCTAAACTTGAACCAAACACCGAAAGATGCAAACTGGTGCTCAATCTTGCTAGAGTAGCTCTCAAAGAGGCTTCAAAGACAGAGGACCTGCTTGTGAGACAATCTGCAACCGTGAGAATCTGCAGTGCCCCTTGCACAATGGACCATTCCTCCTCATTTGACATCAACTCCCCTCTGCGTATATTTTGTGCACCTTCCTTTTTGTCCAAGCCAAGCTCCTTCTTTCCACTAATCCCATCACCAAGATGATCTACTCCACATACAACTCTTAATGATTTAAGTGTTTCTTGCAGAATAGAAATGTATTGTAACATTATGTCATCAAGTGCAAGAATTAGCTCATCTGCCTCGGAACCACCAGTAAAGCTGATGCATCTTTCCACAGCTGCTTCAAGAAGAACAATGACTTGAGGAATAGACTCTTCCATTCTCCGAACTGTCTCACTAAGTTCAATGCCCTGTGCCCCCACACCACGGGTAACTGCTCCCCTCAAATCGACTGCAGCAATCTCAGAAGAGAGGATAGCACGCTCCATCTGCCCATACCTAGAACACATAGAACCATAACTCAATAGATAAAAAAATATGTTGTTCTTCGATTACTGGCAGGTAAAAGTTACAAAATGCGGGCAGGAATTTGTATAGTATGAAGGTAAAAGATGTTTGTCAAAGCTAAAAAAGAAATATTTAAGAGCTAAAACCTTGGGAAAGGAAAATCACAAAATATGGCAAAACATGAAGAGTTCATTTCAGTTGGAAGCCGTTTTCCACCTGGCCACAAAACAGCTTAACCTTACTGGTACTTTTTTTAAATGAGCTAGGCCGCATATGTTCAGAGTAGGTAACCAAGTGAAACATACATTAATACAGTATTAATCAAATGAATAAAACTGGGAACTTAGCATAGTTCATAATGACTTACTTCTGCTTAAATGATTCATATGGTAAATACACTGCCTTCAATGTATCTGTTAAAATTTTGATATCAGATTCTGAGAATGAGTGCTGAATATTCCTCGCAAAGGTCCCCGTTATATTATGCAATTCTATCAAGGCCTCCAGATGCTTAGTCTGGATTTTAATTCCCTTTGGCATGTCTCCAGATAGAATATCTAGTACACCTGAAAGTTGCATACAAGGAAAAGAGAACGGTCAGGAACTGCAACCTCGATGAAAACCAAAATGCCGAATATTTATTACATGAAAAGCTTAAAAAAATAGAAAAAAAGAATAATAAATTCTTCATAGAAAGCAAACTCTAGTAGAAGGTCTAACAAGGCAGCAAAAATGGACTGCTCACGACAGCATGCACATATATGCACCTTCTTGACTGTTGAAGGGACAGAGACAGCAGTTTCCTTCTTGAAGGAATCCTACGATCTTGTGGCTTGTTCAAGCCTATAAAAACTCCCCTTTTTCTGTTGCTTTTCTTACCAACCAGCTCAGAAGAAGAACAATTAACTTTGCAACCAAAATGGAAATAGCCGCAGCAAGCCATGATGGGTCAACAAAAGATAAAGGTGCAGCGGCAAGGCTCTATTGGGATGCAACGAGGAAAACAGCATATACCACAGAAAGAAACAGTTTGAGCTTAAGAAAGAATGCCAACCTTTGGCAAGTGCTCTTGTTTCTGGAACAGCATTGCCAGTAGCTAGGTTGAGACGGGAAATGAAACTAGTACCAACAACTCCCATAGTCTCGATTAGTAGCTTTGGGACAAGAATCTTGTAATCATCTGGAAAAGCAACCATACACCTGCAAGTAATGAATATCTTTGTTAAGTGCTCAAATTCCCAAGATAAACCAATGCATCTGGTAAATATAAGATAATTTGCTCCAGTCATTCTCTTTCCTCAATAAATGTAGGGAAAGCAATTATTGTTAACAAAAAATTGAGTTTATTAAAGGTAGTGCCAATTTCTCAACCTATCCAAAAAGAAGTACCTAACATATAAAACCAGAATACCAAAACATAAGATAATGAAACGAAAACTGTTCAGAATACTAGACAAAAAATTAAGTCTTGATGCAACTCTGCACATTGTTTGCATTTTTCAAGAAATTGATGGATTTAGAATTAACTTTCAGAAAATGCATATAGCTCCCATTTCTAATATTTCTTCAGATGTAAAGTTCAGTGATCAAAAAAGTAGAAGCAATACCATTTCCATTCTTGTTCAATATACAGCAGTAATTCATCATAAAAACTCGGCAACCAACTGGAGAATGATACTGTAGGCAAACTTGATACCAACTCATTATTACTTGACGGCCTTTCAAATTCATTCTTCTCATTTGCAACCTTATTAGTCCGTTGCCTTGCGTCAAAGTCTTCCCAGAGACTCTTTATTTTTTTTAGGTGAACTTTTGTATAATGTAACTCTAAGGACCTGAATCTTCCAATTCGAATCAGGATTCCTCGCAAATCTTGAGCAGTATCAATCTGCACAAAATTGAAAAGGAAGGAATTCATAAATAATCATTTGATAGTAATTAAAGGACTTGAAATGATCGGAAATAATGGAAGGCAATGATTATCAAACTCAGATCTTGAAAGAGAAGAAACCTTGCGATTAGATAATGCATCTGTAAGACGAGGCTGAACCATTGCATCTAGCCTATCCTCTAACACCTCAAGCTGCTTTCTGACATTGGCAAATTCAGCAACCTGTACATGAAAAGGACTGGGACCATCAGCATTTGTGAAAAAAAAAAACCCCACAATATGATATGAAACACCATAGAAAAAATACTACCTCACCAACAGCAGATAAGCAATGCCTCATGTTGGCCAACGTTTCAGCTGCCCGAGGAAGATCACCACTAGCAAAGACATCCTCCACAGTTGAACTTAATTGAGTTAATCCAGCAGCATCCTGTTGTAAGAAACCAATAAAATATCAATTAAACAGAAAATGCTTCATAACAACATACTGAAATCAATTATATTGACCCTCATAAGAGAGGAAATAATAATCATCAGCAATATCTACCTGCAACGTCTCATAAGCAGCTTCCATTCTCTGCTTGACAGTATCTACTTTAGCAAGAGCAGCTATAGACTCTGAAGAAGATCCCTCTGCCTGCGTACGACAGCAAAATAATTTAGAAATAAATGGAGGAGAAAAATCTCTCCCTGTTTCTATGGCGTTTTAAGTTAAAACGTCATGAAGCAGCAGCTCCTCTTCGTTCATGGCAATTCTAGTACGCAAAAGGCATCCTACGTCTAAACATCTATTTTCGTCTATTATTGTTGTGCGTTTGTACATTAGCACACCCTGGCCCAAGAACACACCCCATACAACCAACAGCAAACTAGTACCAGCACACTAAGATTTTAACTCAGTTTCGAGATTAGATTCAGAATCATGTTTTGTGCTTACAAGGGTCAGAAATTGAAATTGAATCAACAACACTAAGCTCGGTTTATTCAATCATCATAGCTCTATATGTTTTGTTTGTCGATCTAAGGTGCATTTTCTCAGTAACCACAAATCTAGACGACGTCAAATACAGATATCAAACACACAAAGAATTAAAAAGAAAAGCTTCAAAACGCAGTTACTCACCTTCTTGAGCTTCTGTAGGATTCCAGCAACCGAACTACGGAGTGAAACTGCATCGTCACGGAGACGAACTACGTCGCGAGTGGCGCGCGGGACACGGAGAAGCGCGGCGGCGCTCTGCTCCTCGAGTGATGCAGCAATTTCTTCCGAGACCATTTGGAGCTTCATCTCGAGATCCACCATGTGCTTCTCCAGTGAGTCTTGCGGATGCCTAGCCTGGCACGCCGAGTTCATCCACTTCTTAGGGTCGAATTTGTCGTCCGAGAAGGGGCCTAGATCCAGCATCATGGTTTCCGGGCAAAGACGGATCGGACGGTTGGCGCCGGTGGTTTTAAAGATCAGAAATCACGACATAAGGGACGGGTCATTGCTGGTAAATAGAAATGAAGGCAACCAGCCCAAGTTCGATTTCATATTTCAACTGGGGTCAAAATATTAATTTGAGGATTTTTGGGGGTTAATTCTGAAAATAAAATATTTTAGGAGCTTCCCACTTCCCTGCCGTTTGGCTGCATGGATGATTTAGTTCCCTGAAGGGATAGGATTTTATCAGGACTGATAAAATCCTATCCCTTTCTTATATCTTTTTCTTAAAATAAATAGTGTTTTTTTTTTTTTTCCAAATATTATCTAAAGAATTATTATTATTTTATCAGTTTAATGAATTTAATCCATCTAATAATAGAAACTTAGAAGAACATATAAATTGCATTACAGTACCTACTTGGCGCCCAAGTAATTTTACAAGGTTGCTGAGGTGTTCCTCGTTTTCCGGAATTATCCAGACGGTATCTTTCTAGAACTTTCTCTTACTTTCTTTCCACGCTCTAGCACCTTCTACTCTCCCCTATAAAATTCAATCGCGTTATTTCAATCCGCATTACGAAAAGTAACCGTGAACCTTCTTTCAGTTGCGTCTCTCTATCGTGCTCACCAATTATAACTGTCAAGTCCATCAATGGCGTCTTCTCTGGCTCTCAAGAGACTCGTATCCTCTAACCTTGTGCCGAGATCCATGCGGCTGATGCACCCGGCGACATCTGCATCATCAGCCACTCGTCTCTTTAACAACAGTGCGATTCGCGAATACGATGACGATGACGGCGAGGAACGTGGCCTTGACGTCCATCGCCGCTCCGGTCGCTCCATCTCTCGCCGCCGCGGTGACATCTTCTCAGGTACTTTGTCTTCTTATTCTTTTTTTTTTTTTTGGTCGAATAGCTCAATGTTCTCTCTGTTTTACCTTCATTTCCGGTGTTTGGTTTTGTTAGGAGACAAATAGAAGAAGAGATTGACTCTGTACACACTTCCAGTTAATACTCCTGATCATTTGATGTTTCTTCTTCATCTGTGTTTGCTGATGTTTCAGTCTGTTTACTCTAGTATAAATCCTCGACTAAGACGTCTTTTATTTTCTAGCTGCCTTCTTAATAGTTAGAAGGTACAAATAGCAAGCAAATTTCAGTGTCTTTGTCATGACTCCGTGAGCTGAGTCCTTGTTCTGTTCTACCGGTGTTACTAATTTCCTCGAGGAAATGATTATTGATTCTGAAATTTAATTAACTGTACTGTTATGCAGATGTGCTAGATCCATTTTCCCCAAGCAGGAGCCTAAGCCAGGTCCTTAACCTGATGGACCAATTCATGGAAAATCCTTTCCTCGCGGCCTCACGTGGAATGGGAGCTGGACTCCGCAGAGGCTGGGAAGTTAAGGAGACAGATGACGCTCTCAACTTGCGGATTGAGATGCCAGGACTGGGCAAGGAGGACGTGAAGGTCACCGTGGAACAGAACACTCTGATTATCAAAGGCGAAGGAGCTAAGGAGGAAGATGACGAGGAGAGTGGAAAGAGATACAGTAGCAGGATTGATTTACCAGAGAAGCTCTACATGACTAATAACATCAAGGCAGAGATGAAGAATGGCGTGTTGAAGGTGGTGGTTCCGAAGGTAACGGAGGAGGAGAGGAGGGATGTGCGCCAAATTGCAGTCGAGTAGTGATGAGCTTGAAGCCAGTGTTTTGTTCTGCCGTCCCTTTTGAATCTTAGGGAATAAACTGTACGAGTACAATGTAGAGTTATGAAACTAATCAAATAGTTAATGGATGAACAATCTTCTACTTTGTTGTTAAAAACTTAAGATTATCTTGCTCCTTCGCCTACTTTCTTTTTCATTTTGTTTTATAAGATTAAAACTTTTTTAATCCTAAATTTTACTTAAATCAATAGATATATATAACATGAAAATCCAATCGTATAGCAAGGTGAAAAAGAAATGAGCGAACAAGTAATTCCGAACCATGGGCTTCGATTATCGCTCCTCCAACGATTCTTCTAGTTTTGTTTTGGAATAGTTGAATTTTTTAATTTTAAATTAGTTACATAGAAAATGAAAATTTTAGCATATACCAGGTTGAATAAGAAATTAGGCACGAGTAGGAGGGATGATAAAAATGAATATTTAACAATAGATGTTATTTGGAGCAACCTGTTCCTTTTTATAGATTAGAATAAGACATTTTTTTTAATGTAAAAATATTAAATCAAGTTTTAATTCATTAAAATTATTTAATTAAAAATTTAATCATAGATAGATTATTGATAATTTTTATTATTATTATTTTTTTAATAATTCCTTTCCAAATTCTTTTGGGTCTCTGGTCACTAAAGTTGGAGGGACTCAATGACTCTATCAGTGCATAAAAATGCTCCAACTTTTGTTAGTACAAATAATTTAAACACACACCGTGACATATTCTTTTATAAGTTAAAATCTTTTTAAATTAACAAATATATAAAACGAAAATTTAAACATATAGCAAGTTAGATAGATAAATTAGAACAGAGGATAAAATGAATATTCAATAAAACCCGATTTTGGTAAACTAATAATTTTTTAAAACAAACAAAAGAAAATTTCATTCATAAGAGTTTATTACAACATAAAATCATCAGTTCCTCTCCCGTCCAAAGAATTACAAATAAAATTAATTTCTCGATTACATAAACAAATCTCACACTGCAAATCATCCTGATCCATGGGTTTAGGCCAGCCATCCTTCAAATGCCTATCTACCTCTGCGCAATTATTATGAATTCTTGCCTCCAATTTATAATTTCTCCATATTGAATTCATTACAGTCTTCAGCTTCCTCCGACATTCTCCTATTTTATTTTCTTGCTTTATTCGTATCATGAGCTTTGAACCCAGTTCATAGCACGCCTCGTCATCCCCGCACAGAAGAATTCCACTCAGTATATATGAAGCTCCCAGATGCCCTCTTCTTCTTCCTTTTTCCAAATAGTTTAGACCCAGTTCAAAATTTTCCCTGCTAAAATATTCCTTCTGTAAAAAAAAAAAAAAAGTAATTTTTTTTTTTTTTTAATTTTTAAAATTCTTCGTCGTGTCTTAATATTTTTCTTTACATTAAGATATTAGAAAAATAATTAAAATTCATACCACTCCTTCTCGGTACAAAGCTTCTGAATTTCCACACTCAATGCACCTTCTGTAGAATGAAGATGACTGTTCTTTTGATCGCCGTGACATTTGAAGTTTGGGAAGTTCTTCCACTGATACCTTCTCGAATACGTAGGAATCTTCCGCTATAGCGTATAAACTTTTACAGCTGCAAATATTACTTTCCATCAACTTCATAAATCTAATAAATACATGCAGACCCGCATACCCACGTATCAATAATTATGTATGTGCGTGTATATATTACTTAAAAAAAAAAAAAAAAGACATGAAAAGGAAAAGAATGTACCTCAGCTTGACCTCGAATAAATCGCGCAACGATGATGCACCAACACGAGCTACGATTTCCATGACTAACTCGGTTGGTAATGACAAAATCGTTGGTTGCTGAAACTCTTCGTATCTTTTTCTTTTTCTTGCCGTGATTTTGGAACGATCCGACGCCGTTTTTGCTTGTCTGTCATTACCTTCCATCTCTTTTTGGACAACACACACTAAAGTAAAGTACTCTGCAGATTACACAGTAGCTAATTATATATATACGTATATGTATATACAGGATGGCTGGTTTAGGATACATCCTTCTCGAAGTAGGACATGCAACGTTATTTAGGAAATTTTGGTTTTGATTCTTAATCTCTTTTTTGCGAAAGAGAGGTTTCCTTTTTCTACTCGGACCATGCTTTGATTTTTAGTTTTGAATGAATACTTGATGCAAAAGTAATTAAATAATTCAAATAATAAAAATATGAATTTTCAATTAATTATATATAAATGTACCATAATTATGGAAATAGCCTTCTCTTCTAGTTAATTACAAAATTATTTGCACCCACTAATATATTATTTGAACGATATATGATATTATTTTTTTATAATTTTATTTTTTATGTTTGTATTTTCAAATACATAGTATAATATTTTTACAGTTATTGTATAGTTCAAAAATTATCATTTTTTGCATTTTTTCAAATCAATGAATCGATATTTTTATGTAATTTGAATGATTTTTTTTTTATTTATACCCTAAATCTTTTTTTATTTACATTTATACCCATTTATTTTATTCTTTACCTTATACTTCTTATTATTCTTCTTAAAAACAAAGGTTTAGATGATTATTTATTTTAATATATATATTTATATATTTTTTATTTTTTTATTTATTATTATATACAATTAAACATTGATAAAATATATAATTTGATCAAATATATAACCACATCAGCTTATCAATTTAAATAAAAACAATTGTTATTACCATACATTAATATATAATTTTTCAAAGTATGATATAACTATAATATAACCATACTCTTGCATTTATCATACAATACCAATAATTAATAAATTATAGTAAAAATTATCCAAACACATCCTAACATATGTTAATGAGGCTATTAATATGATGACGTCATAATGGCAAAAAAAAATTTGATTTCCACAATTAAATTTTATGGGTTAAGATTTAGAGCCTAAACCCATTTAAAAAAAAAAAAAAGGAATCAGACCGTTCCTAAATGTTATTGGACCGGGCTTGTGGACCAAAAAATATGGACCCGGTTTGGATTGCTCAGTTGACCAATGTTGACCTTTTGAAGTCAAAGGTCTCTTCTGATGGCTGCTGGACTTTGGAAAACGGGAGCCGAGATTCACAGTTCACTAGGCCACTGATTTATGGCCTGTTTCAATGAACAAATATAACATGCTTGTATCACCTAATTGACTCAAATATTTATGTTTAAAATCAAAAATTAAAAATACATAATATAATTTTATAAATGTATATGTATATGTATATGTTCAATGTTCAAAAAATATATATATTATATAGACGACTCAATAATGAAGACCCGATCTTCAATCCATCATTAAGTACTCCCTCTAATAAGCCCACACATTAATACGGTCCTAGCTTAACAAAAAAAAAAACTATTATTTAATCAGAAAAATTAAAATAAAATCTTAAAATTAATTTAAAAATGAAAATAACCCAAATTTATTTTTAGAAAATTAAATCAAAGGCATGAATTTATTAATTTCTTATCCAAAAAACAAGCATCAATATCTATTCCTTATCTTCAATATATATGTATGTACCTATCAAACTTTATAAGGGATAATAAAGTTGATATACTGCCTTCCATACGTGACCAAATTATTCACTACCCACCAAAAGAGAAATAACTGGAGTCCCCCAGTTTTGAAAACCAGACACTGGTACGAAATTTCTTTGCGCCTTCCTGAGGTGCGGCTGCATCGATCATCATGCACCCGACATCCCGACAAACACATTCGCAAATGCAAGCGTGGCATTTCGCTCGGTGACAATTGCCACGTGTTAGAGATGCTCCCACTTATACACCACTGGTCTAGCCACGTCAGTATCATCCGTACGTTGACGTGGCGAGTGGGCCCCTGTTGCGGCGGAGAGGATATACGCTTCACGTTAAGAATAATTCCTTTTGGATATGCGAATATGCTTCCGCCTCTCCACGCCCGCTCTTTTTATTAAAATCTAAGACGGACAGACGAAATTACTTTTATAACCCTCCCCCCGGGGGTCGTAAAAATTTCGGGTGTTTTTACTAAAATACCCTTTCGATTTTCTTAATATATATTTCGATTATTTCATGCGTGTTCCATTAGAAAATGATACGATTAATTTGGTTTAGAGAATTTTAAATTTATGTTATTTAAATGTTACCCAATTATGGTTTCTGAATTAAATATATTGTAAATTATTTTCGAAAATAAAAAATAAAAAAATCAATTGAAAGTAGAAATTATTTTTAATTGGTGACAAATTATTTATATTATTATTATTTTTATGAAAAGATCCACAAATTATTAATAATCTTGCAGAGTAATTTTCCTCATAATTTATATAATCCATTACGTAATCATAAATATAAAAATTAATATCCTGTTAGTACATAAAAATTTAAAAATATATAATTATCATATATTACTAGCATAAACATAATAAAAAACTTAAATTCAAATTCCTTGAGTCAATTGCTTTTTTATATATTTTTTTTACGCTCATGTCAATAATTATATATACAATTAGAATAAAAAATACAAATCATAAAGAATCATTCTTTAAAAATAATATTATTTTTTATTTTAATATAAAATTAGAAATGCCCACAATACTCAATAAAAAAATATAATTTTTTGTAAATTTATAAAAAAAATTATTATAAAAATATATATAAAAAAATTATTTTTATTTTAATTAAAAAAATATAATATTTATAAAAAAATATATTATCACTCTCTGTCTCACACGTTAAGTTAAATTATAAATAAATTTAAATTTTAAAATATAAAAATTATTCAAAATTTTAATAACATATAAAAAAAATAAAATATATCAATAATTAAGAATCAAATTATTATTTTTAAGAACTGTCTTTATATTTTTAAAGAAAAAGAAATGGCCAAATTTTAGGGTTCGGTGACACCTACTGGTGGGAGTTTGAGTTTGGCAGTTTGCTACCTAATATTTAAGCCCCTTACCATGCAAGGGCAATTATGTCAAATTACCATCCCCTTTCTAAAATTGGAAATTAGAAAAAAGAATTATTGACTGACTACAGGGAAGTTAACAGGGGTAGAATGGGAATTTCACCTGTTTAAATTACTATTAAATCCAAGCTTAAGTATCCTCCCGTTGAAGCTCCAATTCTCAAGCGTTTTTGGGGGGGTTAAGAAACCGAAATCAAAGGAACCCGAGAGAACAAAAAAAAAAAAAAAAAAGGAGCCAGAGAGAATCTCTGTCCACCTAGAAAGTGAGAGTTTTCAGAGAGACGGAGCAGCCTTATATCAAGCTTTGCTTAAGTGAAAAGGTATGCTTCGATGTTTTCATGGAAGTTCCGATTCAAGTCAATTTGTTTTGACTCTTATTTGTGTATTGTTGTTGAATCTTCTGCTTCAGTTTCCTATTTTAGACTTTACGTTTTGTTTTTATCGATTTTATGGAAGGAAGGATCCGGCGGAAATGAATTTTAATAAAAACGGTAATCGAAGATCGTTTTCATCGATCATTTTGTCCTGAATATTGAAGTAGTGACACGTCTGATCTTTTTTTTCTTTGACATTTTCTCAAATTCCGATGAAAACGTGTAGCTGTAAATCATCTTCTTAAGGTTTTGATAACTCTTTCGGCTTGTAGAATAGATTGAGAGCCTGTCTTGGACTCTTGGCTCAGGTTAAAGAATCTTTTGAGTTTTTCCATGCCGCGCTGATATTTGTTTACAGAAACTGAATTTGAGAATTAATCGGTAAAGGTTCGGCGTGGATGTTCCTCTTTTTCCGTCTGAAACTCTTGTTATGAACATCCTGAACAATTTAGGCTGTCTTGATAAATTTTCCATGAACTGATTCTTCTAAGTTATGCTTTACCGAGGTTCAAAAATCTGAGGCGATCTTTCTTTTTTTTTTTTTTTGTTTTCCTCTACTGATTTATACCTGTAATTATATTAGAGCAATCGATTCCATATTGTGATGTCTGTCGTTTGATTTATGAGAAATCAGCTTTAACTTTTTGTTGACCCTATTATCATTTCTCTTTAGTGGATTCTCTGATTTGTTTATTGCGCAAAGCTTAATTCGTTTATTGAATTCCGGTTTCATATTATATTTTGTATTCCTCTACTTTCCAGCTTGCCATTTTTGTTACGCCGGGAAGAACTTGAATCTTCCACGCAGGATCAGTACATGGGTTCGTTGCCGGAATCGGAACCTCAGAGTTCTCATGGCAAGCCGCCGGGAATCCGGTTCATAGAGTACATCAAGCAGTCCAAGCTCTCATACAAAACCCACCAAGTCATTGTCTTGATTGTTACATTTTTAGCATACACCAGCTACCATGCTGCAAGAAAAACCACCAGCGTAGTTAAGAGTACCCTTGATCCCCAATCATCCCCATCAGAACTGGGCTTGAAATTCTTCTCTTGGAGAGTAATTTACAGAGATGAAACAGCGATAGGAGGAGGACTTTCATGGAAGCTTGGAGATGGTTGGTTTCCATTTAATAGACCAGATGGAACGTCCTTGCTTGGTGAACTCGATGTCGCTTTTCTATCGGTATATGCCCTGGGAATGTACTTCTCTGGACACTTGGGTGATAGAATGAATTTGAGGATATTTCTAACAGTTGGAATGATTGGTACTGGTGTTTTCACTTCACTTTTTGGTGTCGGATACTGGGCAAACGTCCATAACTTCTACTACTACTTGATAGCGCAAATGCTTGCTGGTTTATTTCAATCAACTGGGTGGCCTTCAGTTGTTGCAGTGGTTGGGAACTGGTGTGGAAAGAAAAAGAGAGGGCTAATCATGGGTATATGGAATGCTCATACATCAGTTGGAAACATCACAGGCTCTTTGGTTGCTGCTGCGCTATTGAGATATGGATGGGGTTGGTCCTTTGTTGCACCTGGTCTCTTGATTGCTTTCATTGGCATAGTGGTTTTCCTTTTATTGCCAGTTAGTCCTGAATCTGTTGGAGCTGATAAAAATGAGGACGAAATGTCTTCTCCGAGGAAACCTGGAGAGGAAACAAGAGAGCCTCTCTTAAATTCAGGGACAGAACTGAAGGAGGAAGCTGTGGGCTTTTTAGAAGCATGGAAAATTCCTGGAGTTGCATCTTTTGCCCTCTGCCTCTTCTTCGCCAAATTAGTTGCTTATACTTTTCTATATTGGCTTCCTTTCTATATTAGCCACACAGGTAACTTGATTTATTTCTTTTATTGATTCTTTTAATTAGCTAAATTGAATTACATCCGCTAATATTCTCCTTTACATGCATGGAATAATTGTGCAATATAGTATGACTCTTGGGACAATTTCTAATTCCCATTTCATCAATTTTTGCAGCCATTGAAGGAAAGTATTTATCTAGTGAGACCGCTGGAAACTTGTCAACGTTGTTTGATGTTGGAGGTGTGGTCGGAGGGATACTTGCCGGCCACATTTCTGATCGTCTCGATGCCAGAGCTATAACGGCTGCAAGTTTCATGTACTGTGCAATTCCTGCTCTCTTCTTCTACCGCAGCTATGGCCAACTCTCCTTAACTATGAACATTGCTCTTATGTTCATCACCGGCATGTTCGTGAATGGCCCTTATGCTCTTATAACCACAGCTGTTTCGGCTGACCTGGGAACACACAGTTCACTAAAAGGGAACTCAAGAGCATTAGCAACTGTTACAGCAATTATAGATGGAACCGGCTCCGTTGGAGCTGCAATCGGGCCATTACTGACTGGTTACATATCTTCCAAAAGCTGGAGTGCAGTTTTCACAATGTTAATGGGAGCAGCTCTGATTGCAGGACTGCTGCTTACCCAGCTTGTCGTGGCAGAGGTGGCTGCTAAGATTTCGGAATCGAGATCACAAGAAAGACTCACAACGAGATCTTCAGAACTAAATGTATAAGCCCTATAAGAATATAGATAGAGGGATAAAGAAGGTAGAGATAAAATATTTTTCTTCCTTTTCTCCACGATCATGGAGGAAAATTTTAAAGGACAGGACAGATGGAGGAGAGATAGAATCTCTATTCTTGTCCATATATATGTACAATTTTTTTGTAATATACGATATGAATTCAAGAATGGGATCGTCAACCAGGATTTGCTCACTCAACAATGTGTGGCTTCTTTTATATATAATTTGAGAGAAATTAACAGCTGGTTGCTGATGTTGAAAAGCAGGGGGGAGACTTCAATCCGATATATGGGTGTACGAGAAAGATGATCTTCCACGGGAGAAGCCTGAAAGTGAAATGTGCTCTCAAAGCCAGCTGAAGAGGCAAGAAAGCAAACAAGGCAACATTTGCCTTAAAAAAAAAAATACAAAGTTAACAAACGTAAGCTAATTTAATGAAATAATCTAATCACTCCAATTAAAATTTACTTCTAACGAACGGCAATTGTTAAAAAATATTATCTGCAATAATAATAATAATAAAACTTTAGATATTTGTATGAGAAGATAAATTATTCAATTTACTTGAGTGTAATATTGAAAATGGGATGTGATGCCAAAGTGTTCAACGCAACTGGAAGGAAGATGCCATTTTATATTCTCAACCAAAACATGGGGCCAATTCTTGACTTTTCACAAATGCTTTCTGTGTATTTGATGAATTTATTGCAGTGTATCTACAGCCAAAGTTCCCATGTATGGAAATGTGGAGAGGAAATATATTTTGTTTCCTAGGACAGCATCCTCAAAAGTAAGTGGCACACGTATGATTCCAATTACACACACACACACACACACACACACATATATATATGGTATTTTCTCAATAACGTGTAAGTATACTTTACTTATTTTTCCCTTTAATTCAGGACCCATATAGGAGGAAAGAAAAATAGGGACAAAGTCCTTTTGGATAGTTTGAACCTCTAACTTAGAGAGGTAGAAAAATACCCACATGACCAAAAATCAATTATGTGTGTGTGTGTGTGTAGCACCCGGAAAGGAGGTGGAAAAAAAAAACAAAAAAAAAAGCCACGTCAGCAGCCACGTCAGCAGGCCCGGTCAGCAGTCCCGGCCAACCGGGGCCTGCCACGTGGCAAGACCACGTCACTCCGAATGGTAGCCACGTTGGCGATCCGCGTGGGTGAAATCCGACGGCCCAGATCAATCGCGCGATCGGACGACCCAGATACAATCGCACAGACGGCACAGATTCAATCAAAAACGAACGGCCCAGATTAAAACAAAATGGACGGCTGAGATCAAAAGGCAAGGGGTTATAAATAGAACCCCCACACCAGACCACAAACCCTAGCCGCCTGCCGCTCGCCGGAGAAGACGAACCAGAGGCCGACCGCCGCCACCCGCCGCCGCACCGGGGAAATTTCCGACCGCCGATCAAGGTAAATTTCATACCCCCAACTCGTTTTTCCACGCTGATTCCTCCTATGGCCAAATCGAAGCTGAAATCCCGGCCAAACGGCCGGAATACGCGGCCGAAGACCAGCGGCGCCGCCGCGTCCCCTCTCGGTTTTTGCCTCCGACGAGGCCCTTCCCGGCCTCCGTTCGATGCAATTTTTATATCACCGTGATCACCATTCTTTTCTCTACAGGTTGACCGGAGCCGAATCACTAAAACACGAACCTCGCCGGAGAGCCGCCGCACCCGAGAGCGCCGCCGCCGGTAAGCTCCGTTTTTCCGTGATTTTTTGGCCCCCCGAGGGCCCTAGGGTTGTTTTCTCACAAGGACCGATGCGAGTGTGGCCGAATTCGGCCGAAAACAGCCAACCCGAGGCGACTCGCCGCCGCCAGCGGCGGCACCGTCGCCGGAGCACGGCGGAGCCGCCGTGCCGGAGTTGCGATTTGGGCCGAAAGAGGCCCTGGGCCTAATTTGGATTTTTTTTTGGAACACGTGCAGGTACTGTTAGTGTATTTCAGTTCCCCGGAAAAAATTCAGGGAAAATTAGGGACGGCCTGCAGGCGCACTGTGAATCGTATTCGGATCCCGAAAACAAGTAAGGACCCCTCACCCTATTTCCTATCACGGTATTAAAGTTCAAAATGATAAAACGGTATTTCTTGAATTAACGAATGTGTGAAATTGTTTAAGGTGGCTAATGGAGCCCGAGTCTAGTGTGATTGGTGATTTACTGTTATTTGGCATGTTTACAGCTTTAAATGCAAAATGAGGTTTGATGTGTTCATTTTACAGATTTGTGTGCATATACTACGTTTTTATTAATCATGGGTTGAATGACTGAAAAAACTGATACTGTATGTTGTCTGTTTGGCATGAATTACTGTTTTGCTTGTTTGTATGTGAATTGATGATGCTGACTGAGAAAAAGGAAAATGAAAGATTGTGTAGACTGATAATTGTATTATGGGGGTCAGCCTGACTAGATATCCTGGGAGATGGTGGACGGACCGGGTCCGTAGGGAACCCTACCGGGATTGTGATCTCACATGCCGGACGGGGTACGGAGATCTTATGGTTTTGGCGCCCATACCGGACGGGGTATGGGGACGGCCCGTTTCACCCTCATACCGGACGGGGTATTGAGGTTTATGGTTTTGGCGCCCATACCGGACGGGGTATGGGGACGGCCCGTTTCACCCTCATACCGGACGAGGTATGGGGACGGCCCGTTTCACCCTCATACCGGACGGGGTACGGAGATCTTATGGTTTTGGCGCCCATACCGGACGGGGTATGGGGACGGCCCGTTTCACCCTCATACCGGACGGGGTATTGAGGTTTATGGTTTTGGCGCCCATACCGGACGGGGTATGGGGACGGCCCGTTTCACCCTCATACCGGACGGGGTATTGAGGTTTATGGTTTTGGCGCCCATACCGGACGGGGTATGGGGACGGCCCGTTTCACCCTCATACCGGACGGGGTATTGAGGTTCATGGTTTTGGCGCCCATACCGGACGGGGTATGGGGACGGCCCTGGAAACTGATTATGAATGTTAAAGGTTAACGGGTAGTGGAACCCCTATGGACCCCCACGGATACTAGTAGGCTGGTAAATGAGAAAAAGATATGTTGCACAATGATTGAATTACAAGAGGCGTGATAAGTGTTATGTTTTACAGCTTATATTATTCCATGATTATGATAATATTATTGTTTTTCTTATATTGTTTTCATAAATTCCACCGAGGTAAGTGGATGGTAAAGGTTTTCATGTTAATAAAGGAGTTTGTTGTAAATTATGCTCCATTGGTCTTTTTGTATTTTTCTACCCACCTTTACCTCCGTGACGGTGAGATATCGTGATGTTCTTACTGGGCTAGTGTAGCTCACTCCTTATTTAACCATTTCAGATCAGGAAGACATGGTTCCCGAGCCCGTTCCGCAGGAGGACGACGAAGGGGATGCCTAGAGACTCTGTAGTCATACTCATAGTTTTATTTTCGAGTTTCTCTCTTAGTTAGTTTAATCTTTTATATTTTAAGTACGTTTTTTGGTTTTTCGTGTAAGGGATGTTAACTGAAATCTTGATCTCGCTTCCGCATTTGATATATTCAAATACTCATTTCATTTTAATATGTGTGTGTGTGTATATATATATATATATGTATATGTATACTTTTTTTTTTCCTTTTAATTCAGACCCATATAGGAGGAAAGAAAATAGGGACAAAGTTCTTTTAGATAGTTTGAACCTCTAACTTTAGACAGGTATAAAAATACCCACATGACCAAAAATCTATTATGTGTGTGTGTGTGTCTATATATATATATATATGGTATTTTCTCAATAATGTATATGTATACTTTTTTTTTTTCTCTTTTAATTCAGACCCATATAGGAGGAAAGAAAATAGGAACAAAGTTCTTTTGGATAGTTTGAAAGTCTAACTTAGAGAGGTAGAAAAATACCCACATGACCAAAAATCTATTATGTGTGTGTGTCTGTGTATATATGTATGTAGTTTTAGAAATAGGAAAGTTAGGTAGCTTCATGATCTTTCCCTATGTACCTAGGAAAATTTGCATCTTTTACATCTTTACTAATAAGGGTAAAAAAGGGTTTCTATTTAATGCAAACTATATTGTGTTTCTAGTCTTTATAATACAAAATAAATATAATGGGAGTTTGAAAGATTATAGTATTATAATTTTAAATTAATTTAATGATTAATTCACATAAGTTGTTGATTTACTGATTATTTTATTGACAATTATGAATTTAAAATAAATGTGACCAAACATGATTTAATTATGAATCAAAAACGTAAATTACGATTAAATTTTTTTATATCACGTAAATAAAATTAAAAGTAATTATATGTTTGCCAATTTTTATTTTTATTTTCACTTTAAATATTTAAGTTTTGATTTTTATATTATTATTATATAAAATATATTTATATTTTAATTACTTAAAATAATGGTAAGCTTTTGTTTTAAGTGTTTTTGACGTAAACCACACAAAAAAAGCTAAAAGGTTTTGGTGGGTGGTTCATCCACTAAAAATATAAATTTAAAAAATTGAGGGCCTAACTTCTCTAAATATATGTATTTATATCCATCTGATTATTGGACCACTTCAAATCCACTTTCCTTTTTAGGCCACGAATTTTACACCTAATGATCTCCAAAATCACCACCATATACCATTTTTAAAATGGTGCCCCCAGTAAACCACTACTTTTTTTTTAATTAATTAATTAATTAGCTTTTGACTAAGATAATAATTTAGTATTAATTCGTGTTTAAATTAATCTCCATCTTAATTTTTTATTTAATCTATTTTTATTATGTAGTTAAATTTAATGATAATAATTGATGAGAGAGAAGAATTAAATTAATATATTTTTGAGATTATAGAAAATAATTTAAGTGAAGGTTAAAATAAAAATTAATTTGAACAAAATTATTAGTATGAAAACCAAATCATTATTTATTTTATTTTTATTATATTTTCATCATTTTTTTTTTGTTTTTATAATAAAAATAAATGTAAATTTATACAAAATATAAATGTATTAAGGTGCATTTAATTATCACAAGTTTTATTTGTCTTCTTCGGCGAAGTTAAACGGCGTTTGAAAAAGGCACGTGATGGTTAGTAAGGGCATAAACGGGGGAGGTTAAGATTGCCATCACGGGCAGGTTTTCAGGATGCGTATCTCAGAATTACTCGATTGTCGCAGTGTTCTACAGTATATTATTTCATTCGTTCGTGGTATAAAAAGTGAAGACGACTTTGATGTCTGCTGAGAGAGATCGTTTCGAGTATGGCGTCATCATAGAGAAACGTAGAATGCTCCTAGCCACCAAACCCGACATTGCCATTGCCTGAGTAGGCAGGCAAGGCAACAGAGCGGCACACCAATTAGCGACGAGATATGCTGATAAAATAAGATCAAATAAAAATAAAGTATTAGAATATAGCACGGCAACAAGTGTCGTAAAGTTTACGAATGACGTACGGACGACTGAGGAGGGTGGATAGTTGCCAGAGACCAGAAGTTTTTGGAAACGATAACAAACTGCTGCTTTCTGACGAAGGCTTCTGCAACCAAACTCCACAATGCGAATGCGAAACCTAAAACTGTTAAAAAAAGGAAATCCACTTTCGCAATCGTAAAAATTTTGGACTGTAATTGCTTAAATTTCTCCACGTAAATTATTAAATTAGTTTATATTTGATAGTATTTAATTATTAATAGTTTAGAATAATTAGACAGTATATGAATGTTAAAAAATAATATCATTTAATTAATTACTAAGAATAACAAATACTCCTAATATTATTACTAATTAATTTAATAACGAGTTATAATTACTTTTTAAATTATTTGAATATTATTTAATTGCTTTAAATTTTTTATTAAAAATAAAAAAAAAAATTAAACACTAAACATTTGAAAGAAAAAAAAAAGTATTAAATTATAATTAAAAAATATTAAGGACAAAATTTAAAAAAAATATCAAATATGAAGAACTAATTTAATAATTTATCCGATTCATTTTAAAGTGAAAAATGTGTACTTACAATTAAGATCCAAAATGGATTTTATAGGACTTGAAGGAATTGAGCCCTTTAACAAAATTATTGCAGGCCAATTTGGCAAATTGCATGGGCTTTGGTTGGGATTAAGCTGTGTAGGGATCCATACTGTATAACAAACATCGAAAGGTTCTTTCGAAAGGGAGAGGTAAGAGGGTCAACAGCAAGCTGTGAATCGCTGATGATTTGGCGCATTCCAAATCCTTCTTCATAAGTAACCCGAATTATTCTTTTCGCTAAATGATTATGGATTGATATACAATTTTATTTTATCTTTCTAAACTAGTGATATCACTAACTTAAATATTAAAAATGTTTAAAATTAAAATTTGAACACATCGATTTCAAACCGACCATCCCTAAATTCAGCAAGTAGCTCACAAATAATCAAATTAATATTTCTAGAGTTTATCAATCATCATATCTTTTCATACTCTATAATTGACTTTATAGAGGCTCCATCAACATTATGGCAACCTCTCCAGGTCCAGTTAGCACTTATTATATAAAATCACCATAGATAGTAATAAAATGATTATAGTCACCATAGGAGATAAATACTTTAATAAATACTTAGTATTATGCTGACAAAATTAGCATGCAGAGATGAATAAAGTTTTACATTTTAAAAATGCAATTCCATTTATGCAACCAACACTACTATCTGAATTAGTACTTGCAAACCTTAATCCTAACTACGACGAATATAGTATGATTTATAGTAAATTGGTCTAATAACATTATGTCACCATGAGTTGAGTGACTGCTAATAAACCAGTTAAGCACCAAAATTTTTATTGTTAGATCATTTTATATATATCTAAAAATATATTATTAAAGAATTAATGATAAATACAAGAAAAAGTCACGGGACCAACTATCAAGCAACTTTATATCTTTTCCCTAGCCTAATAATCATATGAATCACTCAACCCTCGATATCTACTTGACATCATTTTCTTAACCCTTCTTAATGGTGTTATATTGATCACTGAATACTCTGGATCTACTTACGTAAGTTTTCGAACACTGCCTAATAGTTATATAAAATATTCAACTCCTAAGATCTACGTACTAAAATTTTTAAATCATTACTCGTTCATATTCATTTTGATTCTCAGTTTGAATCTCTATAAAATAAAGAATCATATTTGAGAAGAATTAAAGGAAGCTAAGAAATCAGGTAAAATTTTTAAAGTTTATATGATAGTTAAAAAAAAAAGGTAGGGGAAGAGAGAGAGAAGAGTTAACTTCTAGCAAACTTTGAGTTAATAATCAAATAGAAGAGATAGGTGTGGAAGTGAGAGAAAATTTTCATTAACAAATTTTTTCTCTTGGAACTTAATGTATGCTTATTATATTCTTTATGTAATTAACATAGTTTTTTTAGGATATTACATATCCTTTTATTGATGTTCTTGATATAGCAACATAAAGGGTTTGAATCCTAGATCTCTTCACACAGAAAAAGAACAAGGAAAAGTGAACCTAGCTAGTGGATCAATTGGATTTTCAAAGGAAAATAGTATAACAACTAATCCTACCCCATTGAATTTAATCTTAGAACCTATTCTATTTCTTACCCTGCACCGTGGTCTAGCCGTACTGCACTTCAGGAGTTAATGCTAATACTTTCGCATTTCAACCAATCACATCAACTAAGTCAGTCATCACCACTGACAATTGAGTTGAGATTAAGTTCATCATTTGGCAAATAAAAGGATTAAGTTAAAAATGAAGCAAATTACTACCAGTTACCACAGAAAATAATGAATACCATATTGTCGTTATTAGTCAATATTTTATATTGAAAAAGTTATTAGTCAATGTAACAGAAAGGCATGAATAAAGTTGGACAAAGGATCCATGAAGCAAAATAAAGCAGTTGTACATTTGGAGTCCACTGTCATCTGCATCCTTGTGAGACAAAGCTCTAGAATTTTTCAAGAAGATGTGAAGAAAATTATCTATTAAAATGTAGAGTATGAACTATGCAATTGATAAGCAAATAGTTTAATCAATAAGACCACAGCCAGTCCCCTCCTTTTAAGTTTAAGTTTAAGTTCAATTCAAATATTAATTTTATAAAATAGGAACAAAAATATAATATAAATGAGATGAAATTTGAATGAAAGCACTAGTCCAAGTCAATTATGTTAAATTCAAAGTAGGTATTTCTGTGATTCCTCCACTTATAAATAAATCAAATCCATCATTGTAGAATTGAGGACATGAGGAAACTTGACTCAATTATAAATTATAACTATCTTTTACATATCAAATAACTAAGGTTTAGGATTTGAAAAAATATGATAGTTTTGAACCAACCGCAAAGTAAGCCCCTCAGAGACCACAAAGAAATATACATCACAGTATGTAGCTACTCCCCATACATATCCATGCCTCACCTCAATCACTGTACTGCAGCCAAAACTAAACCTGTAACCTTCAAATGCATTCTGCCCAATAAATAGCCAAAAATAAAAAAACTTAGGAACAATGTCCGAATTTCTATCGCAATCCCAATTATCTAACAGTGATAGTAACCATAGAGACACTAGAGCCACTATCAAACTGAGAGGATTCACAGATGGACAAAGGAATTGGAGAGAAAAATTCATAACCTACCAACCTAGGAAAAGATTCACTCCACAAACACATCCAGAAAAATGTACTAACCCAGCAGACAGAGAAAACATTTAGGCTATGACTGGTAAAATGTTGTCCAATCCTCCATTGAGAATACTGAAATCTAAAAATTGGATGACAAAATTAGATGTTGCATGCCTTGTTAAATTTCATTTACAAAACAAAAGAAACTCATTTTCCACCCACTTTTCTACTCTATTGATTTTAGCCTTACTGTTGCAGAAAACACACCTCCGGTTCAAGTTTATCATCAGAAAAATAAGAAAACCATGGTCCACTAATGTACTTCCTGCCATGTTAAGTTGCTAATTACCAAATACCCGCTGCAGCTTTTATCAAACCCTGGTAGATGGAGGCTTAGCATGACATATGTAGTGTCTCATTCAGCATTCACTAGACGCCCTTTTCTTGTACAGTCATCAATTCTACAGATTTGTAGTGGAACCTCCATGAAGGCAACCAATCAACAACTTCAATCCTCAATATGTCGTTTTTAAACTTGAAAGATTTTAGAAAAACTTATAGATTCACAAGCAGCTCTATACTTCACAATACAACCTCGTTAAAATTACCCACAAAGGCAAGAGACATTCAACTACGATGGGAGAGTGAATGCTGGTTAACGGTGAATTATTCTTGTGCTAAACAAATTCCAGCGACTAGATTAACAACACAACCATGTAATGAAGGATAAGCTCAGTTATGTCAGCTTCAACACTACATACAAATATGTAATTAAATAGAAAACAAATCAAGGAAATTGAATCGAGAAAAAAAAAATGAAAAAACGAATCCAAATTTACCAAGGAGCTTATCTCATGAGCAAATAATTTAAAATTCTCATATCGATCCGCAATCAACTCAACTACAATAATTTTTATTACCAACATTTGGTTGGTTTCACTTCTCTTCTTATACAGATTCTAATTTCTAGACTTGTATGTGATCAGGAAAAACAAAAAGAAAATCCACTAAAGAGGAAGACAATTAACCTGGCCTTTCTTCTCCTTGTTGTCAATACGTTATCGTTTATAGCTGGGGCTAATCGTCGTCCTCTCTTTTTTTGGGCTTCCGATACTTCTCTTCCACATGCCTGGCCATGAAGAGGGCCGAGTTAGCAAGCTTCATGACGTTCGGAACATTGTAGTTTTGAGCAAGATAAATCCCGCACACGGTGCCGACTATGAAGGAGAAACTGCTCTTTATGATTCCCATCTTCCCACTACTGTGCTACTGTAGATCGGCTCTTCAACTGTAAAATTAGGGCTGAAATCCACCGCCAAATTTAAGTTGTACGCACAGCACAGCCGAATGATTTCGCTGAATTATTGGAGCTTTTTCTTTTCTTTACTTAAAATTTCAGATTCCAGGACTTTCGCAGGGATCCGAGTTCTGGAAGTCTCCCCGGCTCTGTACAATCTCTGTTCATAGAGCTAGCGACTTCCCGGTTTTACCTTCTCCATTCTCGCAGAAGTTCGGCGAAACGGCCCAGTTTGAAAATCAAAGCCCTTAAAATAAACATTTTTAATTAATTAAAAAAAAATTAAAGGAAAAGTAACATTTAAGCTGCTGTATGTTGAATTTGCAAGCAAATTGCCAGCTGTCTCCCATAATTTTTAATTGAAACAATTATTTTTCTAAACACTTTTTTTATACGAAATTTAGGTTTAAAAAAATAATATTTTAATTTTAAAGTTATTTTTATTTTTAGTTTTAATTGATTGATATAATATAAATTTCTTATTGTATAACTGAATGTTTTCGTATAATTCATGCAGTAGTATATTAAATATATAAAATATTATAACTAATTTTTATATATTAAATAATTAAGATTAATAAATTTAATAATAATAATAATGTAATAATCATGCTGACTGATGACATCTCGACTAACTTATTAGTTTAAGTATTTTTTAAATTTATAGTATTTTAATTTTACGAGTTGAATATTATTTTTTATTTTATAAGAATTAAATATATGAATATGATTAAAATTTTGTATATTAAATATATAAATTATAATTATATTTTATTTTAAAAGGTAAAATAAAATTTATAAATATTATATGTAAAAATAAAAAATAAATAAATAAACAAAAAAGTTTTGCTAAAGAAAACAATAAAACTAAAATAGTTAATAAAAAAATTTAAAAATATTATTTTATAATTTCATAATTTAACTATTAATTTTCACAATTAGATGAATGAAATACACATAATAAATTAACAATATACACATCAAAACTTTTTGAGTACTTGCAAAAATAATTATTTTGCTTATTGTTAAGTTAGTCTACGAACACTTATTTAATACACATTTCATTAAAATCTATAATAATGATTATGAATATAATATAAAATTTATAAATAATTTTTTTATATATGAAACAATCCCATCAGTTTTAAAAATGCTTTTTTACTATAAGTTGTCGGTGTATATTAAATGCATGAGCAAAAATTTTGTTCAATAGTTTACCAACCAATAAAAGGTAATTAATACTTAATATTCATACTTCATAATCATGTTATTTTTAAAAGAAAAGTTGTATATTTTTTTAAAATTAAAATATTTATAAAAAAAACAATATGACTATTTGTCTGTTCAAATTCGTTATATCATTTATGACTCATTTATGAATAATTAATTTATGGGATAGTTATAGTATTATAGAAAAAATTATAATGAATCCGGGTCTTTTGAGTTACAAAAGTGTAGACAGAGCAAATATCGTATTTTATAGTTTGTGATTTATTAACAATTATGTAGCATTATGTGTATTATGATATAATAATATTTTGTTATGAATGTACAAAAATTTTTTTATTGAATTTGTCCAAAATCTTTAAAATTTATTTATTTATTTCAAGAGTGACTTATTTGAGATTTAACGTATATCATTTAACAAACTTATGATAAATTTTAATTTTCGGTTAGTTCAGTATTAATTCTTCAATATATTTTTTGCTATAAATATATTTGATCCCAATATTTCCCAATTGATCTATTTGCAATGTTTCTACGTAATTTAGTTATAATTTAAACAAGTTTATAAGTCAATGTTTATTCGTTAGAAGATAATTAATTTGATTTTTAACAATTATAACTTAAATTTATTTCATTAGTTAATTAATTAGGTTTATCATTGTTAATTAAGATACTTGCAAATTGCTCAAAGTAAACAGAACGAAATTTAAGAAAGGAAATGAATTGGTCAAGGCAAGAATAAAATAACAGTACAAAGTCAGAAAGGACAAAAAAAAATGGTACGAAGAAGCCAGGTAGGAAGGCTCGTCTTTATTCTCCAACAGAAGGCGTTCATGCACCATGGCTGAACGAATATACGAGCTTACCTAAAATAAATAAATTAGATTATATAATATATATATATATATATAATATGTATGTATAGAAAGTTAAAACAGTATCGGATCATTATTAGTGAAAATTTACTGGGAACCTATATAAAGACAGATATTGTAATTATTACATTTCAGCTTTTAAGAATTTCTTCTCTCTTTCCCGCAAAAACTGACCCAGTCTTTCTCTATCTAAAAATTTATGCTCATTCTTCATTTCTTTTCGTTTTCTTCTTCATTTTCTCTCGCTCCAAAAGAACGTGATTCAGGTGCATATTGCAGAAGAAACCTCCACCGACGCTATCACGACAACTTGTTGGATCGAATCAGGTTAATGATTTGACTTTTATTGTTGAAATATTTAATTACTATTGATTGTATATCTGGATTGACGTTCTTCTCCTTAAATGTATTCGGATGATCCATTTGATTTATCGGATTAGTTTCTCAGCCTTGATATTTGTGTTTTTTTATACGTTTTTGGTTTTGGATTGGGAGTTTAGGGTTTATTCGGTGTTTTCCTTTGTGAATTGGGATAAGTTGCGGATGAATTCATTTGGATGAAACCTTTCTTTGACGATTTCTTTTATGCAATTGACGACTTCAACTTGTATATCCATTTTTGTTTAATTTGAATATCTTTGATTGTTAGAATTTCATGGTGCTACAATTCCGTTATCAATTTTTATGCTTCACTCATATTGGTGATATCATTTTAGCTTAATCTGACTCTTAGAAGCTGGGTAGTGCGTCAACTCAGCATCTGGCCCCAATGAGGATGGATTTTAGGATTTCTTTCTCAAGTGACTGGTGATGAAATAAGATACCGTGTTGCTAATATTTTAACTTGCCATGGACAAATTTCAAACTCATGCAGAGACTAATAATCTAATTATGCGTGTTCATGCAGGTTTTGTTTATCTACATTGGGAAGTTTTGCCACATTAATTTCCCATTTATTGCTGCAACTTGGGTGGTTGTTCCAGCTAACTTAAAGCCAATGCCTCTCTGAATAGTACGGAATTGATTGCAGAAAAAAAACCATGTCAGTTTGGTTCTAATGAAAATCCCAGAGTTGCATTTTTGTGAAAGGGCAGAAATTAGTTCTAATGGGTGTCAGCTACTTAGCAATCTCAGCCACATGTACCGCATTAAGCTTCGTTGGCCTTCAAATATGGACAGAATTTTCACTAGATAAACTGAAACCAAATGGACTTATCAGTGAGCATTTTCTAAACTTAGAGAATGCCAGCCGTGCCGTTGAGCTGCTTTCGGGCTCTTATGCCACAGTGGCATTACTGGCAAATTTTGTGCTCAATGCATTTACTCTACTCATCCTTTGCCTCAAGGTAAGCTTGGTTTGTGTTTTTTTCCCCCTATTGGACTTTAATTCAAACCCCAACTTATAGGTAGTGTGTCAAGAGCATTTAAAATGAAGTTCTGTTAAGCTTCAAAGCAGCTGTGACCTCTTATTATGAAAGCTTAACTTGAACGAATAATTTAGTAAGATGATGTTCTGAGCATTTGCAATTCGATGCTGGTTCTTTCGTGATTGTAGCTGTGTATAGAATATTATGCTTCTTCCTATACTATCAATATGTCTAGATCTTGAAGCTTTTAGCTCTTTTCATTTGGGTTTAATTTGTTGCTACATTCTTTTTTGGAAATTACAACGACGAATGTTGGTTGATTTATATCTGTGAATCTGTCTCTTCATTTTGCAATGTGTAAAATTCTTTATATTGTCTCAAGTTTTTCCATCTGGAAGAAGAGGATTGAGGTCATGGATGGTCCCTTTATTGGTGCAAAAAAACTTTGAGCATGGTGAACAAAAAAGGCATAGATTAAAGTCTAATAGGAAGATTTTATGGAATTAGGTAGCAAGATTTCTGGATGCAAAGAATAACCAGAATTCTTAACTAATTACTTAGTAGGGTAACTCAAACTCGTAGATAATGTGAAGACATGATGACGATTGACATAAGGTTTGCTGAATACCATGATGGTGTTTTGGTAGACAAAATTGGCAAGCGACTTTTAGATTTAATTTTGGTATCATCACATTGGTGAATATGACTGTCTGATAGTTGTTTATGGTTCCTGTCATTTTGTTGCAGACTATTTTCTTCATAGAGTTGTATCCTTCTGAAACCAAAAAATTGGCAGAACGTCTGATCAACTATGTTATTTACAAGGTAAAGATTCTTCATTCCTGCTCTTGGAAGTGTATTTAGTTGTAACTGAAAGCAGAATGCATCTGAACTCTACTTAATCACAAACCATTGGCCCTCATGAACTGTGGTGCCAAGATACGGTTTTGCAATCCTCAGATTTTTTGTTTTGCTGGTAGTTTCTATAGTGTTGAGTATTCACTTGGAGCTGTTTCAGCTGATTTGATTATTTCATATAAACATGAGTGGATATACTCTTTAAGAATTTTCAATTTGTCAAATTTTTATTACACGAAAATGATTTGATTTCATTTACTAGATATGAATTTTCCACACGTATTCCCAAGGAAATATTTATATTGTATACTCCTTTATGTGTATTGATCGATATTGACAGGGGACATTTTTGCCACTGGTTGTTCCACCAACAATATTTCAAGCTGGCCTTTGGTCAATTTGGTTGATTGTTATGTGTTCTCTTAAGGTATGTGATTGAGTTTACAATGAAAATGCTGATCCTGGATTCAGTTGAAAGGGGCTGAATGGCATTTAATGCATTCTAACACTTCTAATGGATTTTTGTATAGATGTTTCAAGCTTTGGCTAGAGATCGGCTTGAACGTTTGAATGCATCTCCTTCTGCTGCACCATTGACATATTTTCGTGTATACTCAGTTTTCCTATTGGTCCTCTCTGTTGACTTTCTTTGGTATGCATCACTCCCTAATCTTTTACACTATTGTTCAAGAACTATTCAGAAAACTACCATACATGAGAAAGATGACACTTGTTTAAACAGGAATTCTTGTTCTGTTACATAGTGTCTAGTGAACATATCAAGTTTGCTTTTCTGTTACATATGTTGGATCACATTTACAACAGCTCCCACCCTTTCATTGTCTGGTTTGAGATGCTAAAAGTTAGATGAATTGGAGATGTAGACAATTATTTTTCTTTTTCTGCATGCTGGCTGCCATAATTTTGAGTTTTGAGACTTCCTTGAAAGGCCAATTAATTTGTATGTGTGAAATTGGAGGACATGAATCATTGTCAGATTGTCAACGGGCTGCCCCTATTAAAGTTAAAAAATAAATGTAATACATTTATACAAAATATTTGGGTGTGGAAGGATATCATTAGGCGGAGGAAACAAACGGACCTAATTCTACTCACCATCTTTAGGGTGGTCCGGAAGGAGAGGAATAGAAGAGCATTTGAAGGAGTTGATGATGCTAATAATTTTGATTTGGTCACGAATAGATGACTTCAGATTCTTGGATTTTTGTTATTGGGCTATCCTCTCCACTCCATAGAGGATTTAGGGGATCTCGTTGATATTTTTATATTTGTAAATATTTTGTATACGAGTTGGCACCCCTTTGGTGCTTATTTCCTTCTACTTGTCTTATTTCTTTCACCATGAGGTGCTTATTTATAGGAAAGGAATACAACCAATTCCTAACAGTTTTGTGGGGGAAAGGAATAACAATATATGGTTACCGGACACATCTTAACCATTTGATGATTCCTCCCACTAGGCAAACAAAAATTAAACCAAATTTCCTTCTATGATTTTCTACACTCCCCTTCAATCTAGTTTACATATATGTTAAGTAAATTTAGATTGAATACAATGTCATCAAAGGTCTCTTTTGACAGAGTTTTTGTTAGGATGTTTGCAATTTGTTGACTAGTTGGAATGTGCATCAGAGTTATAGTTCCATCTTCCATTTTTTCCTTGATGAAGTGTCGATCTATTTCTATATATTTGGTTCGGTCATGATGTATTGGATTTTTGACCATGCTAATAGTTGATTGGTTGTCATGTCATACCATACTTTCATAGGAGTATTAACAGAAGCTTTCACTTCTAATAGTATTCTCCTCAACCATATTCCCTCATATATTCCATGAGCGAGTGTCCGAAATTCAGATTCTGCGCTGTTACGAGATACCACTGACTGTTCTTACTGCGCCAAGTGAACAAGTTTCCCCAGACATAGGTACAGTATCCTGATGTGGACCTTCTATCTGTTATTGATCCTGCCCAATCGGTATCAGTGAAGATTTTAACATCCCTATTCATTGTCTTTTTGAAGAACAATTCTCGACCCGGAGTCATCTTTAGGTATCTCAGAATCCGATATGTAGCTTTCATGTGTTCCTTAGTTGGTTGATTCATGAATTGACTTACTGTACTAATTGCAAAGCTGATGTTGGGTCTTGTATGTGCCAAATAGATGAGTTTGCCTACAAGTCTTTGATACCTCTCTTTATCAATTGTTTTATCACTGACCTTGGACCCTATTTTCACAGTTGGATCTATAGGTGTGTCTGCAGGTTTACTTCCGAGCATCCCTGTCTTCTTCAAAAGGTGTATAACATATTTTCGTTATGATACTGAAATTTCCTTTTTGGACCGAGTTACCTCCATGCCAAGGAAGTACTTGAGCATTCCAAAATATTTAATTTCAAATTTTTTAGCCAAAAACTCTTTAAGTTTCTGAATTTCCTCAATATGGTCCCCTGTCAGAATGATGTTATCTACATAAACAATCAAAATAGTTTTTTTACCTGAGATACAGTGTTTGACAAACAGTATGTGATTTGACTGACATTGCTCATACTCTACTCGTTTCACTACCTTTGTGAATATGTCAAATCATGTCCTTGGGGATTGTTTAAGATCATAAAGTGATTTTTTGAGTTTGTACATTTTATGAGCATTGTTTGTTAGTTCAAATCCTGGCGGGATATCCATATATACTTCTTCTTCTAGATCACCGTTAAGAAAAACATTTTTCACATCTAACTGACAAAGTGGTCAATCAAGATTTGAGGCAAGTGAAAGTAGTACCCAGATTGTATTGTGTTTGGCTACTGGAATAAATGTTTCTTGATAGTCTATCCCATATGACTGAGTAAAGCCTTTGGCTACTAGACGAGCTTTATACCGATTCATACTTCCATCCAGATTGTATTTAGTTGTAAAGACCCATTTCCATCCTACCTGATGCTTCCCTGGAGGCAGATCTATTAACTCACATGTTCCATTTTTCTCTAATGCTCTAATTTTCTCATGGATGACTATTCTCCATTCTGGTACTTGGAGGGTTTCATGGATCGTTTTCGGCTCTGGAGAACTATTATCTAACTTGCTCACAAATGCATGATGTTTCGAAAATAGCTTGCCAAATGAGATATAGTTCTGTATAGGATATTTGGTGCATGTTCGAGTTCTTTTTCTTAAAACAATAGGCAGTTCAGTGTCAGTATTAATAGCAGAAATAAAGATCTCATTACCTGTTAATTTCTGGACATCTGGAGCCGGAATTGATTCATGGCAAGGGTTAGTTGATTCAGGAACTTTCCCTTCTTGAACCTTATTCTTTCTAGTGTGAACACGTAACTCATTAATTGCAGGTAATGTGTTTTCAGTTATTGCCATTGGTTCAGGCTCTGTGTGTGGTTTCAGGTAAAGTATTAGGTTTAGACTCTAGAGAAAGTGCTTTTGGTGAAATCTGTGGATAAAGAGAGGGTATACTTACATCCAACAATTGATATTTCTGAGTAAAGTTCTCTCTTTGAATATTAGTTGTGAGGTAAAAAGGTTGGTTTTCAAAAAATGTGACATCCATTGTGTTATAGAATCGATGGGTATCCGGAAAGAGACATTTGTATCTTTTTTTATTAGAAGAGTAACTAACAAAGATGCATTTGAGAGCTTTTGGGTCAAGTTTCCTCCTGAGGTGTGCATGAATATGAACATATGCTGAGCAATCAAAAACTTTAAGTGGGAGAGTGTTTAAGATACGAGATTCAGGAAAAGTTTGTATGAGAAGTTTATAGGGTGACTGAAAATGAAGGATACGGGAGGGCATTCGGTTTATTAAGTATATTGCCTCTCTCTAAAGGTATTTTGGGACATGAGTGGTAAACATAATTAATTGAGCAATCTCAAAAATGTCTGCTTTTTTTTTTCAGCTATGTCATTTTGTTGTGGGGTATATATATACACAAGAGTTTTGATGAATAATATCATGTTCAGTAAAGTATTTTCCGAGGGTGGTTTTGAAGTACTCACATGCATTATCAGACTTCAACACTTATATGGTGGTATGAAATTAAGTTTGAATTATAGTGTTGAATTTCTGAAATATGGGTCCAACTTCAGATTTTTCTCTCTTGAGAAATATTCAGGTAATTCTCGTATAATCATCAATAAATGATACAAATCACCTAGTTTCGGTGATGTTAGTGGCCCTGAAAAGTTCCCATACATCGTTATAAATTAATGCAAATGGTTTTGAGGGATTGAATGATAAATTAGGAAAGGAACTTCAAATATGTTTAGAGAATTGATATACTTCATATTGAAATGAAAAATGATTCTTATTCTTGAACAACAAAGGGAACAATTTTTTTAAGTATGAGAAATTTGGGTGTCCTAGTTGATAATGCCACAACATGATATCATGGTCATTATTTGAATGACTTACAGAAACAGAGTTTGCACATATTGTATTGTGAGTTTATCTCCTAAAGGTGTCGGCTTGAAGAAGGTACAACCCTGAATTCATCATAGCATTGCCAATCGTCTTTCCCGAGTCCAATTCTTGAAATTCACATGCATTAAAGACAAATTTAGCAGTACAATTTAGATTTTCAGAAAGTTTACTCACAGATAACAAATTGCAGTCCAAATTTGGGACATATAGAATGGAATAAAGAGTCAAATATGGTGACAAAACAACAGAATTCATTCTTGCTACTTTAGAGATGGACCTGTTAGCAATTCTAATTGTGAACCCTTCCTTACACGAGTTGTACTGCTGGAGCAATGAAGCATCACCCGTCATGTGATTGGATGCCCTGGAGTTCACAATCCAAATTTGCCTTTTTACAGAGCAAACTGATAAACTAAGGGGAATTTTACCTTTATATGCTATCGAAGCACTGATGAGATGATTCTTATGAGAAAACATTCTCTGGAGAGTGTCCATCTATTCTGGACTAATTGGGCAGCTTTCCGCAGCGGTCAGTAGAGTATCTTCAGAGGTTGCATGATTTCCTTGGTGGTCATTGGGGTTTTCAGACTTGGAGGGCTTTTTGTCACCAAGTCTTCCATGAAGTTTCTAGCATTTTCCACGTATGTGACCGGGTTTTCTGCAGTGGTCACACCATGGTCGTCCCCTCTTCCCATGAGAATCCAGTGTTCTAGTTGTAAACGCAGAAGTGTTTTCGATTAGGTGAGTGGATTGCATGTCTCCCATCATTACTTTTTTTCAGCTTTCTTCCCGCCAGATCTCGGAGAACACTTCACGGATGCTTGGCAGCGGTTTGATTCCCAATACCCATCCTCGCACTTCATCTAGGTTTTTGTTTAATCTCATTAGGAATTTGAAAATTCGCTTATGCTCAATAATCGATTTGAAAAGTTTGACATCTTCGGGATAGCTCCAACGATGTTCTTCAAACGCGTCAAGTTGCTGCTAGCTGCGAGTTAGAGTATTGTAATACTGGGTTACGTTTAACTACATTGTCGCAGGTCGTAGAGGCTGGACTCAATTTCGAAGATAGCAGAGGCATTCTCCTTATTGGAATAGAATTCCCGAGACGCTTCTTAAATTTCATGCGCAGTCTCGTAGAGGAGAAAATTCTCTCCAATTTTGAGTGTCATCGAGTTTACTAACCATGACATAACCATGTTGTTTTCAATTTTCCATGTTTAAGTATTCAGATCGTTGGCAGGTGGAGGCACGATTTCGCTGATGAGGTATTCATCTCAGCCCTTGCCCTGGATGAACAGCAGCACTGATGA